ATGGCCCAGCTCTGAGATGTTGTATAACCTTGAACATTTTTACTCTAAATCCTGTCTTATGGTACTACTGATTTATTTCCCATACTAGACTATTAACTCCTTGTGGGAAAGTGATATATCATATTCTTTGCATCCCTAGGCCCAGAAAACGGTGACGGTGTTCAATGAATTTTTCTTTAAAAAAAGAAAAAAGAAAAAAAAGCTTGATTGAATTAGTTAGCAAGATAAATGTATGATAGAAAAAAGTGTTTGGCAAATGAAATAAGATTTCAGGTAACTAACACAAAACAAAGTTCTTCTCTAACACCAAGATATCAGGTTTATTTTATTTTATTTTATTTTAATATTTTATTGTTTTCAGAGAGGAAGGGAGAGGGAGAGAGTGAGAAACATCAATGATGGGAGAAAACCATTGATTGGCTGCCTCCTGCATGCCCCCTACTGGATCAAGCCCACAACCGGGGCATGTGCCCTTGACTGGAATCGAACCTGGGACTCTTCAGTCCCCAGGCAGATGTTCTATCCACTGAGTGAAACCAGTTAGGGTGAGAGCAGGTTCATTTTAGCAGGCTGGAGGTAAGGCCCAGGTAAAGAGCATCTGAGCAGCTACTTATTGAGCATTTACTGCATGCCAAGCTCTCTGTGAACATATCTGACATCCAACTTGTTTAATTCTTCAAAGAGAGGGAAAGTCTAGTGTTGCCCAACCAACCAGTGAGAACATTTGGGCTTAGAAAAGTCTTGTGCCTTTTCTGAGGTCCCTGCTCCTGAGTGGCAGGTCCAGATTCAGAGCCCGGCCAACTGACCCTGACGGGTGCTCTCTCAGCCACACACTGGCTCTGTGGGTGGACTGTTCCATTTTCTATCTGTCGGGAGGGGCGGGACTACTGTCATAACTCCCATGGAGCATTTAAAAAACACATTTTATGGCTTGTAGGTCTCAATGTAATGTTTTTTGTTATTTGATTTGTGGAAGTATATGGAGTGTGACTATGAAGTAATGAGGCTGGTTTTATTGAGTGGTTGGTGGAACTGGGTCCCTTCACAGGAGTCTGCTGCCTTGCTGGAAAGCAATATCTTAACAATACCGTGGGTGGCAAACTGCGATTCGCGAGCCACATGTGGCCCTTTGGCCCCTTGAGTGTGGCTCTCCACAAAATACCACGGCCTGGGTGAGTCTATGTTGAAGAAGTGGCGTTAGAAGAAGTTGAAATTTAAAAAATTTTGGCTCTCCAAGAAATTTCAATCATTGTCCTGTTGATATTTGGCTCTGTTGACTCATGAGTTTGCCTACCACTGCCTTAACACAATCAATGCCTTGTGATGTCACACTGCCAGGGAGCATGGGGGCCAGTGAGGAAGTGAGATGTAGGCAGCAGAGTCCCCAGTGGGTCAGAGCTGGAGCCTCTGCCTTCTGAGTCACTAAGGGGACAGGCCTGAGTTTCTCATGCAGCCAATAGCTGCTGTGCTTACTTGGTACCAGGCTCCAGTCCATGGTACAGGAGTCAGGAATGCGCAAAGCAAACACCTGCTCTTGGGACCTTGCGATTCTAATAGGAGAAAGGCAGTCACACACATGCACACACATCCGAAGAGTCAGATAAGGGGCTGAAGTCCTATCCGGTGAATTCTCTAGCTATCAGTAGATCACTTTATCACTATTGGGAAATTCCTTAAAAGGATCTTTCTTTAATGCAAATCTTATGTGCCTTATTCTTGTTGGTGTTGTTCTTATTTTTAGTTTTATTGTCCACTGGATTATTATTATTTTTTTTTTACTTTTCATTTTTATATATATTTTTTATTATTGATAGTATTATAGGTATCTCCCATTTACCCCCTGCTCCTTACCACCCCCCCCTTCTCCCAACCTGTCATTGGGTTGTTTTTGTTGCTTTGTTTGTTGTGGTCAATTTAAGTAATTTTGCCTCTATAAACATACCATACATAAGTAATTTTGGCTTAGAGAAAGGGGAAGAAACCAACAGTGAGCACTGCCATTCTGTCGGCACTGCGAGAAGAGTTTCCACATGTATCCTCCATGCACATGTATTGTCCGTCCACATGTATCATCCACTTTCATTCTCATGGCAACCCTGTGCAGAAGCTCTTCTTAACCCTGTTTACAGATGGGAAGATACAGAGTCAGAGAGGATCAGCGATGTGTCCAAGATTGCAGATCTTATAAGGCAGAGCTGGGACCTGAAGCATGAAATTTAATTCATGCCCAATATCATTCTTTCCGCTAGCCCATGATGTAGAGTCCTGTGTTAGAAAGGATGTGATGTGGTCTCTGACGGAAAGAACAGGACAATACTAAAGTCTGGCCTCGTGCCAGCAGCAGACTAGGAATACCTTTACCAAACATTTGCCTCAGTTAGCAAGAGAAATGATGGTCCTCATGCTTACCTAGCGCCCATCCTGTGTGCAGCTATTCTGTTGGGATTGCTGGGGGGTTTAAAGAGGACGCTACTTGTGTCTCATCCCAAGTATTGTGTCTGGCACGTGTTGCCATTCTTGGAACGTTCTGGAGCCTAAAGACTGAACCCAGTGGAGCCTTGCTTCTCTCTTCACTAGCGGACCTTTCTAGTTTCCTTCACTTCCTGTCCTGAGGGCCCCACAGAGACGATTCTCAGGCTAAGCCACAGATAATCATCTTTGGCCACTTCACCCCCTGAGTCCTTCCTTCCTTCCTGAGGGAGGGAGGGAGAGAAGGAGAGAAGGAGGGAGGGAGGGAGGGAGGCTTCTGTAATCTACATATGCATCACACGGGATTTTCACTTTGTGATTCTGCCTAGTGCACATGCCGAACAGCTGGGTGCAGCCTTCTCTCAGATAAACACAAGCTGTAAGTTTTCCTTGTTTATGAATAACACACAGTTTGAAATTGCTTTTACAAGTGGATACAAATTTCATTAGATAAATTCAGATGCTTCTGTTGGATCCAGAACTCCCAGTCACCACCCTCGTCTGGGCAGCCCCTGCAGGGTACAATGAAACCTCATTAGAAACCACTTCTGAGTCTTGGGTGATTTCTAATTCTGAAGTTGGGTCCCCTCTAGATTCAAAGAGAGACCTGCCCTGTTTCTCATCCCCCCCCCCCCTCTCTCTCTCTCTCTCTCACACACACACACACACACACACCTTTCAGATAGCTTGGGAATTCACTCTTGCAACCCCTGCCTCTATAAACATACCACTTCTGGAGTCACCCTACCGCAGGAAATTCTACTTGGGAATTACCAATTCAACTTGGGAATCATCCTCAATTCCTTCCTTGTCCACAACCCCCACATCCAAACCCTCAGGAAGTCCTAAACACAATGGTATTTTCAAACTACACACCTCATCTCTCCACTTCCCTCCATCACCATTGCTCCCATCATTTAGTCCCTCTTCTCCTCCCTGCTTCCGGTCTATACACCTGTGATACATTCTTTGTACAACAACAAAAATGAAATTGCAAAACTGTACCCATTAGATTCGGTCACCTCTCTGCTTGAAGTTTTCCAAAGTGAGTGCTCTGGAAGCAACTCTGCATTTTGTATTACAGATCTCCCTAAATAGCAAGATGTCTATGGGCTTTGAATCAAAGCTCTCATTTAAAACAGAGCAATGACTTCATTTTCCTGATATCATTTTTACATGTCACCATTTGTTATCAAAAGAAAATGGGAGTTATGCCATCTCATCATAATTTATGATTACTAAAAACATCCACTGTGTTAAGTGTGTACCTCATGAATTGTCACCTGCTATTAACCATGTTTTTTTTTTTTGTTTGTTTTTTCTGCACTTGGTAATACTTGGGCAGATTCTGGAGAAATTAATCTGAGTCCCAAAGGAAGTGCTAGTCTGGCCTCTGAGAATGCTCTTGCCAAGTCCCCTCCCAGTGCCCACATGTGCCACATCGTGTTATGGTCATATTTCCATAGAAAGCCGGAAATCAGCCCAATACTTTTTGGGACCTGTCTTTCCCCAGCTCTTGCTTTTTATTTTATTTTATTTATTTATTTATTTATTTATTTATTTTTATTTTTATTTTTTTAAATTAGATACTCAAATAGTAAGCATGGAATAGGATGAGGATTATTTATATTGTGTGGTAAGGAATTTCAGATTCATCAGTTTGGGAGACAGAGCAAGTCAAGGGCCATGGGCACTTCCCGTGTGAGCCATCAGGGCAGAAAGAGTGTCCCAGCTCCTTGTATAGACAGGCCCAGGGGCTCTGCTGTGATCTGTGGCTCGGCCAGGCAGAGAAGGGACCGACTCAGTACTGGACTTACACATGGGACCTCTTCAGCCGCCTGGGAAACTTAGCTCATCTCAGAGTTTGGCAACTTCTGCCAAGACATCCAACGAGGGAAGGTGCTAGCATCCATTCCCAATTTGCAGCTTTCCCCAAATTTCCCCCCTTCCCCTTTCCCTTCCCCCCCCCTCTCCAGCAGCCCTGCTCCACCTGCCTGCCAGCAGCTGAGCCACCTGGAGTGCGCTCCTTTCTCTCCCTGGCTCTGGGGATTGGGGATAGTTGAGCCTGGCCCAAGCATCCACCTGGGTCCCTATTGGGCTCCCTGCCCCTGTGGATGTGGCGCTGCTCCCAGTCCCAAGACCCAAGCCCCTGCCCAGCACCTGGCACTGGAGAAAGTGGTGGTCAGCGATGGAGCTGCTGCCATGACAACCTGGGCTTGGGGGCTGCTCCTGGGAGGAAGGCAGTGTGCAGGCTGGGGTGGCTCCTGAAGGCGGCATCTGGCGCCCGCCATCCCCTGGAGGAGGAGGGGGCGCAGCCTCTCCCAGCTCCCCTGTGCCCAAGTCTGCACCTAGCAGGTGTGCTTAGCGGGCTGACAGCGGGGCCCCGGGCGGCCAGTGCTCTCTGGGCTAAGGGGAGAAAGTACAGGGTCCGGGGTTCTAGGAGGATCCATCCCCGAGCCCGCCTCCTGTCCCCTCCTGGAACTTTGTACCGCCTCTGGGTACCACGTAGGAGACCTGGGCTGTGGACCAACCCAGCTCCCCATCAGTGCGATCCAATAAAGCGTTTTCTCCTCTCTCCGAGGCAGCAGCGTTTTACGGCATCGCCTTTCTGCCAGACTTGCCTGGCTTCTCTGGGTTATAAACTTTTGATGCCAGACCTCTGCAGAGCCTGCCCCACTGCATTGTAAAGTAGCATCTCCTCGGAGAGAGAGGCAGAGAAGGAGCAGCCCGTGGTGACCTTCATCCCTGCACCTTCCTTCCTGCTCTCCCTTCCAGGCTGCCTCCCGCCTCCCCGGGGAGCGGGGAGCGTCAAGAAAGCTCTTTTTTAGATGCAGGAGGGGCATCTGGTTCTGCCAGGCTGGAGAGCTTAGGCAGAAGAACCACTAGACTCCAGAGGGAGAGGCTGGACTCACTGCTTCTCCTCCTCCTCCTCCTCCCTCCCTCCCTGCGCCGCTGCCTGGCTCGCTCAGCCCTGCCTCTGCCCACACCGCTGCCTGAGACCCACCGGTGTGTGGGGCGGGGCCCCCCGGACCCTGCCCAGCGGCCCGGCGGCGTTCTGGGAAGTTGTGGCTGCCGAGGAGGATGGGGGTCTGTGGGTACCTGTTCCTGCCCTGGAAGTGCCTCGTGATCGTGTCTCTCAGGCTGCTGTTCCTTGTGCCCACAGGAGTGCCGGTGCGCAGCGGAGATGCCACCTTCCCCAAAGCGATGGACAACGTGACGGTCCGGCAGGGCGAGAGCGCCACCCTCAGGTAGGGAGCTGCACTTCAGCGGGGGTCTGAGCCTCTGGGCTGTGGTTCTATGAAGGGTGAGTGAGCAAGGGAGAGGAAGGCTTGGGAGGAGCAGGGAAGGGGACCTCTTGTACATGGTGTCACCTGACACTCCTCCTGGACAGGTGTGTCGTTGGCTTGAGCTTCTCTGGTCCTGGGTCTTAGAAGTGCACACAGAGGTCCATGCTTGGGACTCCGTCGTGGCTAGGAGTCTGGGACGTGACTAGATGCACTTTTGCCAAGGCGAGGATGGAGAGCCTTGGGATGGCCACCCTGGGGGTTTGGTCTGAGAAGGCTGGGTGTCTTGGTGGCTGTCTCACCTGCCAGCAGGTGTGTAATGAGGCAGGACCTGCTCAGGATGGGCTGCTGGCCCCGCTCAGAGAGACACCAGCAATCTCAGGCTCTGGAGTTGCTCTTGCTGGGCCATGGCCCCTGGGAGGCTGCTCAAGACTCAGACATCCATGTCAGCCATGCGTGGTGCGTGGTGCGTGGTGTGTGGTGTGTGGTGCTCCTGGGCCCCAATTATAAGTGATGAGGGCATTTTTTTTTTTTTTTATCTTTGCCGGCTCAGGACCAGGAGAGGGAACATGTAGCTTTTATGCAAGGACATCACTCCCGTGCAAAAAAGCACCACCGGAACGCTTTTTGTTTTACCTTAATGAGTTACAGAGAACCGCTTGCATGCCCCAGGCAGAGGATGGAGACGCTCGGAATATGAACCTTTGGGGACCGGACCTGCTGCGGCAGAGACTTTCATAAAAATGCAGCCCCAACTTTCCACCAGCTCAGCAGATACCATCTTTTATCCCTTTAATGAGGCAGCCCTGGTCCTGGGAGACAGATTCAGGGATGTCCCGGCTTCATTGGGGCTCGCAGTGTACACAGGGTGAATGCGTTTGCCCTGCCTGGGCCTTTGGCGGTTCGAGGGAAGAATAAAACATCCTGTCCCAGGCTCTGCAGCCAAAAGGCCTGGCTGCTCCGAGGAACGGAGGAGGGTGGGGTGTCCTTTCTGTTCTTCTCTCAGCTCCCCTGGTTGGACTCTCACTACCTCTGGACAAGCCTCTCCCCAGGGAAGGAACTGAAGGCCTTTTGAAGTGCCAGCAGTGATTTCCCCCAAAGGCCAAGGTTGGATTCTTGTCACTTTGGGTGGTTCTCTGCTACATTTTCTTGTGAGTTAGAGAATAGGTCCCGGGACCCTGGCTGCTGGAGTTCAGGGGCCTCAGGCTGAGAGAGAAAAGAAAAGGCTAGAGCCAGACCTCCTGATCATTGGGCATCCTTCTGTCCGTCTCAGAGTAGAGTGCCATCTGCCTATTTGATTGCCCCCCCCCCAAAAGCGTGGGGAGTCCCCTCCCCGGGAGATGGCTCTCAGGATGCTCATTAGCAATTGGCTCAATGGCTCTGAGTAGCACCATGTATGCACCTTCACCAAGGGAATGAATGCTGGTAACTGTTGCCAGGTGCGAAGTTATGTAGACGCTGCCAGGCGTCTGTCTCTTCTTATCTTCTCATCTACTTCCAGGGGGCAAAGAGGGCCAGCCTTCCTTGGGCCTCAGTGCTGACTTCCAGAATCCTCTGCCCTCTTCCTTCCCCTAAAAGTTACACTTGAACTTTCCACTCGCCAGGATGCAATAAGACCTCGCCACCAGCAGAGGGCCAGCTTCCGTCTACCTTATATTTATTTTCTTTGATTTTATTAGCTGCTGGCCTGTTTTCATGATCTTCAATTCTGATGTTTAGCAGCTGGGCTTGGTAATGGGAATGGGAGTGAAAAAAAAGGCAGCGCTGAATAGTTGCTTTTGTGTGCTTTGTTTAAAGGGGGGAAAAACAACAGCAACACAAAAAGCCCTTCCCTGCTCAAGGATAACTGCTGTTACCTGATTGCATGCTTTGTTTTTTAAAAAGTGAGCACATGTGTTCTGTGGGTTTTGCCTCTCCTGTCTGTATAAGTTGCCCTGTGGTGCAGAAAGCCATCACATTATCCACAGCATTTTAATCTCTTTCTATCCATTTTTTTTCTTCTTTTTTACCTATTGAGTTCTTCTCTTTTATTACCTTCTTCATTTTTAGGAGATGCCTCTATTTTAAATGTTTGTTTTTCCCCCCAAAAAAGGCGAAATAATAATGAATCATAATGTACTTTCTTCTGTTTTGCCTTCACCACTTTAATTTTTATCATTTCCTGCTATCTTAAGTTTTGATTTCACTACTAGCACAGTGTTTCTTACAGCAACATACATATCCCCTGCTCATTTCTGGGGGTCTCCACCTCTCTCCTTTTGTTCTCTCTGCTCTGCTGGTTTGTTGGTGAAAGGCTGTGTTTCCATCTGGGAGAAGAACTTATTTGTCAGAACTCAGAGGGAGAATCCTTGCTCCCAGTCTCTGGAAGTCCATGGCTTCAACCCAGATAAAGGCCATGTTTTATTTTCCATTGGGTGATGCTTTTTTAAAGCAATGCCATTCTTGAGAATGGTCACTCTCTAGTCTTACAGATGTCCCACTGGGAGGAGGCAAGTGTTTGGGAATTTAGTGGCCCCAATGCATCAGATGCTCAGAATGTATTGAAAAAGCATTGAATGATTCCCACACCATCAGCCACAGCAAGTCTTTTCAAATGTGGCTGCGGTGGATCAAAGAATTCTGAGCATGTGTCTCCATCTCCAACAGTCACATTGAAGGCCAAGGACAGAGTAGGGTAAGCAAAGTGATGGAGAGAGCTGGGTCCCTCATTGAATTTCCCCGTGAGGAAATTGCCTCGCTTAGAGAAGGATGATTTTCTTCCTTAGAGACATCGATTTTCATGTGCTGGATCTTTGTTTTCATTGAAGGATGTTGGCCAACTGAAGTTCTGGACGTGGGTGAAACTCATTTGATCTAAGTGATGCCATATTATCTTTTCCATAATTACTTCAAAAGGTGACTGGGGAAGTAAAAAAATAATTATTTGAATATTGAGTTAGCTTGCCTCCTTGGAAGAGAAAGGATATGGAAATGGTGGTATTCACTATGTCTGAGTTATGGCTTCTATGAATCTGATTTGAATTCATTATTACAAATGGGCCCTCTTGGCCAGAATAATTTCATTACAATTATCTGCTGTTGGGTTAAAATGGTCAGAGCTTAGCTATGACAGGTCTGTGGAGTCCTGGGTCTAAATCATAGCCACATTGGAAGGAGCCCGGATGCTCAGGGTGGCCCACTATAGTGTCTACCTCAGTTGCACAGATGATGGTGGGATGTGCCTTCCTTGTGGGCCTCAGTCTCCTCTCATTGGCTTTCCTTCCTCACTGGGATCACATCATGAACACTTTGAGAGGTGTGAGGTAGGACAGAGACAGCAGTTGTTGCTGTAACTGTTCCTATAAATGGAACAAACTGTTGTTGTTTTAATTTTTCATATGGCGGGATAATCAGTTTTGCCGATCCAGCTTTGCTGATGTGGAGTTATGCTTTCAAATCTCTAGAATGCCCCTGAATTTTCATTAGGAGTCGGAGGAGCTAATCCCTTCAGAACCAAGTATCTGAGGGTTAGCTACTGCTGGGGACTAATCTGAGCAGCAGGATTTTGCCGATGCAGTGGGGCAAAAAGCTTTCTGTGCTTTGCCTGCGTGTTTCTCTGTATTTTGCACTCCCCATCAGAGGCTTTTGTTTTGGGCTAAATGAGAGAATTCAGACTAGGCAATAGGTTATTCAAAACCATTAAGGGACTTTGCATGTTAGTGCTTAAGTTGCCGAAGTCCAGTGAGGACTTGGAGAAGTGCAAAGGCTTTGCTCTTGGTGCCGCTGGCCTGGCTACATATGTCACTGCTGGGCTCCTTGCCAATGGAATCAAAGCTCTGGAGGGGGCACGGGTGTGGGCATTTAACAGCTCCTTCCTGTGTGTTTAATATGGAGCCGGAGTCGAGACCCACTGCCTTAACGCTCTTTCCTGCCCCAGAGCACCTGAGCAAGGCTGGTCTCTAGGGGACCTACCCCCACATACGTGTCTCCTCTGTGCCTGTACATACCCTGTTTTCCTGAAAATAAGACAGTGTCTTATATTATTTTTTTCTCCCAAAGTTGCGCTAGGACTTATTTTCGGAGGATGTCTTATTTTCGGGGAAACCCGGTACCTACCAGTCATGGGCTGCATTGGCACTCTAGGAAGGGCACTGGGCTCAGCAGCCTGAACACCTGGGTTTGATTCTTATTCTACCACTAAATAATAGCATGGTTTTGAGTGCTTAGGTTCTATTGCAAACATGTGGGCACAGTATCTCCCCAGACTGTGACATCAGGTGCAATGAAGTATATGGCAATTTTCTGTGAGCGATAAGGCATTGTAGAGGTGCAAGATATCACTGAGCACCATGGCACTCCTCAATCACCACCTGAGGCATTTCGTCTGCTCTGCCTTCTGCTCTGCCTTCTGTTCCTCCTAATGCCCCTACCTTTCCCGATCCCCACCCACATACATATACACCTGTCTCTTCCTCATTCCACTCACCATCCTGCTTCCTGCCTGTGGTCAAGAATTATCCCCATCTGAATTCTAGTAGCTCTTGCTGCATAGCTCATTTCCAACAGATGCAACCTGTGGACCTGCCACTCATGTGTGGCCGTGGTTAGGCGGTGAGCTCCTGGGCTTAGGAGCCATGTCTTATGTGCTGAGCACAGGCACTAGGGTGGCTACTAAGGATTAAAATAATCGATTGGGTCAAATGTTTTCGTCCATCTCAATGTGACTCAGTTTCTTCTGATGTCTGATTGCCTCTGCAGCAATGACCTGTTCATATCTGAAGGGTTTCATGTTCTTCAAAACATGATGCTGGGACATTCAAGCACAGCGGTTGGTGAGAGAGCTTGGAGGCCTGAGGGATTTTTGGGTGGCACTTAAGTCATTTGCCAGAGGGGACAGTTGACTCCCCCATTGGTTGCAACCAGCCCAGAAACCATGCAAAAGGCTCTGCTATCTCCCAGGGCAAGGCAAGGAGCAGGGCAGTGGA